GATCCCAGCTGGGGTTGGGGGGGACCAAACTAGGCCTAAAACCCCCCTGGTTCTGTACTGGGGTTGGGGGGCTTCAAACCAAACATATGACCCCTCCCCCTCCATGATCCCAGCTGGTGTTGGGGGCTCCAAATGGGGTGTATGATCCCCCTGTGATCCCAGCTGGGGTTGGGGGGCTCCAAATGGGGTGTATGACCCCCCTGTGATCCCAACTGGGGTTGGAAGGCTCCAAATGGGATGTAAGACACCCCATGATCCCAGCTGGGATTGTGGAACTCTGAACTGGGCAGATGTGGTATCAGGGAGGCTGTGAAGGAGCCAGGCAGCAGGTTCCAGGCGCAGTCCTGTAGTGCCACAACCCCGGATAAACCAGTAACCCCCCATCAGTACACCCAAAAGAAAGGGGGGGGCCACCAGCGCAGCCAGGGTGGGAGCAAAGGAGGCAAAGGCAAGGACCAACAAGGGGAAGAGGCTTCCTCCAGAGGCTGAGGTCCCTTTGCAGAACCACTTCACCTCTCTGACAACTGAAGAGGAAGGAGCCATCACACCATGAGAACCGCTGGAGCCCCGTCTGCTCCTCACCGAACAACCAGCTCGATTGAGAAGAAGTGACAGGTGGTAGTCACGGGAGGTTCTCCGCTGCAAATCATGGAATCATGGAATCCCAGAAGAGTTTGGATGGGAAGGGACTTTCCGGACCATCGGGTTCCATGGGCAGGGACACCTCCCACTAGCCCAGGTTGCCCAAAGCCTCATCCAGCCTGGCCTTGAACCCCTCCAGGGATGGGGCATCCACAGCTGCTCTGGGCAACCTGGGCCAGGGTTTCCCCATCTTTCCTGGAGTTCTGCCCCCCAGAAGTTCTGCCAGAAGGTCTCCCCAAAGCCTTTTCTTCTCCAGGCTAAACCAGCCCAGTTCTCTCAACCTTTCTCCATGGGAGAGGTGCTCCAGCCTCTGATCGTCTTTGTCGCCCTCCTCAGGCATAGAGGCACCCGTTCGGCGACCTGACCCTCTCTCTAGAGTGGTGTGCTGCTTGCCGGGGGCTCATGTCAGAGATGTGACCAAGAGGCTACGAAACTCTTAGGTTTAGTCTGGATATTAGAAAAAAAAAGTCTTCACAGAAAAAAGTGATCAGGCACTGGAACAGGCTGCCCAGGGGAGTGGTGGGGTCACCATCCCAGAAGGGGTCAAGAAATGTGTGGATGTGGGGCTTCAGGACGTGGTCTAGTGGGCTGGGTGGTGTTGGGTTGACGGTTGGACCTGATGATCCTTGAGGTCTTCTCCAACCTTCATGATTCGATGATTCTATGAAACCTCATGCAGACCACCAACTATTATCCCTGACTGTTGTTTCACGTGGGCAACAGCAATAAGGCCAGGAGGAGCCTGAGGAGCATCAAGAAAGATCACAAAGCCCTCAGAGAGGCAGT